CAGAAATCCAGAAATTAACAATAAAACTTCAGAATTAGACAACCCAACAGAAAATCATAGGAGGCAGAAATGAGGCAACGGAAATCAGAATTTGTGAGATTGAATATAAAGCACCTGACACTAGCTTACTGAGGAAAAATCAGATAAAGGAATTTAAAAAAAATGAAGAAACCCTAAGAATTATGTGGGACTCTATCAAGAGGAATAACCTACAAGTGATTGGAGTACCAGAACAGGGGGAGAAAACAGAAAACAGAGAATTGTTGAAGATTTGTTGGCAGGAAACTTCCCTCATACCATAAAAGAAGATACCGATCCAAGATGCTCATCGAACCCCACACAAGTCAGATCCCAAAAGAAAGTCACTAAGACATAACCAAAGAGAGAATTTTAAGAGCAGCTAGGGATAACTGCTAATAAAAAAAGCCATATAAAGAACAAAAAAATGAGCAGGCAATAGAAGCCAGATGGTAAGTTTGAAGAGGAAAGAGAATTAATACTAAAGAAGTGGAAGTAGAGGGTGTAGACCAGTTAAGTAACACATTTGTAAATGAAAAAGAAGGAAGAAATGGTGTGGCAAATTGGTCGAGAGAAGATTCATTTCCCTCATCCTTTTCCTCCCAGTAAGGGAAAATTCATCATGTTTGAAGGCAGGGGAAGGTGCTAGTCAAGAAGGAATGTTTGAAAAACTATGGCATGGATAAGGATCCCTGGTGGTACAGCAGGTTAAAGTGCTTGACTGCTAACCAAAAGGTTAGTGGTCTGAACCCATTCAGCAGCTCTGCAGGAAAAAGACCTAGCAATCTGCTTCCGTAAAGATTACAGCCAAGAAAACCCTTTGGGGCAGTTCTACTCTGTCACATTGGATCAGTGTTAAGTTGGAATCAACTTAATGGCACCTAACAACAACATGGCATGGATTCTTCATTTAAAAATGTACTGGAGGAAGAACACCCTGATTAAATAAATTAAATTAGCAAATGGAGGGAGGAAGACAGACAGCAAGGGAAAAGGATCTTTCTTCTCTAATTTACAAAGAAAAAAAATCAAGATATTAAGAAGTGGCAATGAAAGATAAAGGAGTTTATACCTCAATCTTAGTAAAATAAGGGTGAGGTTATTTCCTGTAGCCAGGGAAAGGGCAAAGTTTGGAAGAGCTGGCATGATAGTATGCTGTGCTAGGAAACTGACAGTCACTAAAGATGTCACCAAGCACTGAGAGCTAAACTGATGCAAAATTATCTTTTGATTACCATGTAAAAGTACATCAGATATCTTCCCTTAAATTCAGTGGTTCTAAATGGTTCCAAAATTCTATCCCTTCTTAAACTACTTTTCAAAACTGGAAGTAGTTTAGTGATAGTTCAAGGTAAATGAATATGGTAATAGCTACACTATTTTAAAAATTAGTTTTACAACCTGTACACCAATGTTCATTACAGTACTTTTCACCATAGCCGAAAGGTGAAAACAACCAAAATGTCTATCAACAGATGAATGAATGAACAAAATGTGGTATGTGGTATATACATACAATGGAATATTACTCAGCCATAAAAAGAAATGAAGTCCTGATGCACACAACATAGATGAACCTTGAAAACATTATGCTGAGTGAAATAAGTCAATCACAAAAGGACAAATATTGTATGAGACCTTTATTATAAAAACCCATGAAAAAGTTCACACACAAAATGTAACAATCTTTGTTGGTTACCAGGGA